CATTCACAGGATACTTCGCAATTTCCAAACTTCTTTGCTGCATATAATTTTTTTTTTTTCACATTTACGTTATAATACGTTATAATTCGGCAAACCCAAAGTGAGTAGACTTGGAAGCAAACTGATTCAGTGGGTGGAATATCAATAGAATTTTGGATTATAATCGGATGATGAATGCCAGACAGTTTATATCAACGTTACACATACCTGCAACTAAGCAGAGTCATTCAACGGTGCTCGGAAGACATGGCTACGTTCCGCGTGCTCATCGCGGTTCTAATTGCTGTGCCATCCTTATCAGTGGCCCAAAACTCGGTAAGTTCCTGCGAAATTCGCAAAGTTCTGTCTGACTCCAATGATAAAAATTAAAATTCCTCTTCTGCCTAAAATGCAATACAGTTTTATCCGCACAAATATCCCTTCAACAGTTCTAGTTGACAAGTGATGCACAAATTTATTTTATTCAGCAAGATAACTGAGAAAAAAGAAGTCCAATTCTGGTATGGCACCTACCACTGTAATGCTAGCATGGCGTCTGGTACTGCAAGTGGGCAGTTTTTATGTCTTTGACTTAATTTTTCGGTCTGGACAAATTTTTGTGCAGAAATGAACTGGTCACTGATTTGTTAGTAAATCCCGCAGCATCCTCTCCGTATTCAATTTCTATGAAAGGCCGAAGCTCTCAAGGAATAGTCCGAATTGTAGCAAGTGCCAGCAACAACTTCCTGCCAGAAGGGCTGTCGACTGCTCTTTCTTCCAATGGTTACTTTCAAGCAAGCTGATGGCTGATTTGACTTTTGGCTTATGTTAGTACCAATTTACGTTTCTGCACAGTTATAATCCAACCGGAAACGGCATAAGATAACGTCACAAAGATGTCAAGAAAAACCAAACGCGAACAGCATGGAGCTGTATTTTGCTCAGTTGAGCCAGGTGTGGAAGTAACACAGAAGGAAAGAAGGGATCTGGCTAGTTATTGTCGTGACATTTACTTTCATAATTTGATAAGCTGCAACTCATAGCGTGTTCTCCAGTGATACAACTGGCAACTCGTCCATCGGCCTGATCCGGTGCTGAATCGTTTTAATGCTCAGTCTACTGGCCGTCCTAACATTCGCTTCGCCTCCTGAAA